TGAGCTACCAAATCGCAGGAAACAAGTTGGTTGCCATCACCAGCGTCATGGACATGGTTGAGCTGTTGGTTGAAGAGGGTGAAGCTGACGCGACCACCATTACTCCATCGCTTGCACCGCAAATGATGAAGGAGCGGAGCGGACGAATGGACTTCAGTCTTCAGTTCAATGTTAAATGGTGTTTGTTTTGTTTTTTGTTCAGTGTTTGTCACCGTCTCCTGTCACTGTCAACTGGTAGCGTCAAACAATAAGTTTTTCAATGAATTGACTCAACTCAATTGACTAATTGATTTTTTTTGAAGTGGCAGTGGCAGTGACTGTGGCAGTGGCAATGTCAGTCAGTGTTGTTGGCTTGTCAGGATGCCATGCAGAACTTGGAATGCTTGGACAAGGAGACGTATGAGGCGGCAAGGGAAAAGACCTGTTTGCTGGAGAACCTCCGCTGGGCTTACATCATCCCTGGCGATATTGTGTGGATACCCTTTGGATCGATTATGGTTGAAAAGGTCGTTGGAAGTTCTCATGCTCTTTGCCTCCGAGTTCCAAGCACCTTCATCTGTGACGACTGCTTTAGCACCTCTATGTTCTACGCTTCGGCTTATCCACGGATGCTTAGTCTTGTCTTAACTATCATTTTGATATATAGTCAATAGTCAATAGTCTGTTATATGTTATAATATATATGTCAATGTCAATGTCATTAATGTCAGGAGTTATGAGTTATGCGTGAGGTCTCCTGCGCTAGAGGCCATAGCTCATGTGCAGAATGTCTTTAGCAACAATCCACAATCGATGCCTTCATTATCATCGCAACAGCAACGACAGCAAGATGCTTCTCCGGAAGGAGTGACAGTGACAGCGCCTGTGACTCTGACAAGTCCAAAAGATGAGCCTGCAGACGACCTTACACAAACAGCACTTCAAGATGTCCCAGCAGTGTCAGCAGCATCAGCAGCTGCTCCGGCTCCGGCCCACGGAGAACCATCAGCGCCAGCAGCACCAGGGCCAGGGGATGAAGCGAAGGAGGAGGAAGGGGCAGTGGCGGGGGCAGAGGGACCCCAAGGTGGAACAGGAGGAGGCTTAGGCTTGGAGAACATGTTTGCAGCAGCAACAGACTGCCGCGACCACACAGCTTGACATTGCAGCAGCAAACGAGTCGTCGAACGTGTTTTGGTCCGAGCTGCCTTGGCATCCGGCACAAAACCCCGAGCAGCCTCAGCCTCAGCAGCAACTACAACCAGAAGCACAAGAGCCTGGGCAAAGAGTAAAAGAAGAAGAAGATCCACCACAGCCGCAGTGGCCAGCGACGCAGCTACTGCCAACATCAGTGACAGTAATTGACCTGGAACTCGACGACGATGAGGCCGAAGAGACAAACACAGAACAACATGGAGAGCCAGCAGAGAAGACAGTACCAGCACCAGCACTGGCAGCATTTCCATCACTCAATGAATCACAACCAGCACCGGTAGCGATTGAGCGACCAGTATCATCAGCAGCAGCAGCACCGTTGCCACCACCATCGGATCCCAAAGCCGACACTGCCAACACAATGTCAGAGTTGACAGCACCGACCGAGCAACCAGCAGCACCGTTGCCACCACCATCGGAAGAACCAGTACCGGCACCGGCACCGGTAGAACCTAGGCAGCCACCAGTTGAAACAGATGAACAGTTCGGTCTTAGGCTTGAGGCCATGATTGATGAGAATTTTGATGCTCTTTCGGAGGCATCTCAGGAGGTGGTAGCGACCAAGCAACCAGCAGCACCGTTGCCACCACCATCACCATCGGATCCCAAAGCCGACACCACGCCAGAGCAAGAGTTGAAAGCACCAGCAGTGGCAGCAGCATCGCAGCCAGCAGCAGCAGAGCCGGCAGCGATTGAGCGACCAGCATCAGCAACAGCAACAACAGCAGTTGAACCAAAGCAACTTGGACCAGCAGAAGTACCAGCTGTTGAACCAAAGCTTCCTGAACCAGCAGAAGTACCAGCATCATCAGCGCACCCTGACGCGTCAGCAGCAGCGGCAGCCTCCGTGCCACCACACTCACCAAGGCAACCAGTAGTGGCACCAGCACCAGAGGCAGCAGCAGCGCCTGGAGCAAGCAATGGGCAGAATCAGAATCAGAAGCTGGCAGCAGCAGGACCAAGCAAAGCAACGGCACAACCAGAAACAAGAAGAAGAGGCAAACAGACTCCAGATCGCTCCAGTTCCCTGGACAGTTTCTTCCGGATTGCAAAGAATGACTCAGCTTTGTCCCAGGAATACTTGGAAATGTTACGCAGCCCCGCCCCAAAACACCAGAGCCTGAGCCTGGGCCTGGGCCTGCGCCCACACCAGCCAATGCTCCAGAGCAGAAGAAGAATAAGAATTACGAAAACGAGAAGAGTCTCAGTCTGAGCCAGAAGACTGGCAATGGCGGTGACAGGACTGACAAGTCCGACAAAAAGGAAAAAAAGGAGAAGAAGAAGAAGCATAAGGCTAAGGATCATGACAACGATGAGCACAAGGGGAAGAAGCGGAAGCATGAAGGCCAAGGCAGCCAAGACGGAGAGAGTCCAGCAGTGTCAGTCGCAAAGGCAAGAGCCCGTGCAGCGGCAAAGGGCTACAAAGAAGAATGCAGCAAGGCTCAAGCCCAAGCTAAGGCTAAGGCCAAGGCAGCTGCCTCTCCCAAGGCGAAAAGCAAAGCTTCTCCTAAGCCTAAGCCGAAGCCCACAGCCAAGGCCAAGGCTAAGGCCGGTGTGGGCAAGGAGGATTCGGATGAGCTTGAGAGAATTGCTTTGAAAGAGCTTCAGGCGGCAGAGCGAAAGGCAAAGCGGGATCAAAAGCAAAAGAAAAAGAATGACATCAATTAGAATCGCAGATGACAGCACTGCAGTGCAGTTTGGCTGGCTTAGCCCGGCTTATGGCGAATGTGGCTAGTGCTGCACTGGCGCCTTGTCTTAGTCAGTCCAGTCAAACTTGACAGCTTTTCTTGTTTACTGCCTGGCCCAGGCCCAGGCTGCCTCACCTTCATCTCACCCTGGACTCCACCCACCCCTCCTGAGCCCCTGGAGTCATGAGTGGATTTGGAGATTCTTCTGGCTCAGGTGATGGCATGTGGACAGAGGACGAGCCAAAGTATGTATGGATGATCTCAGATGTGGGTGTGAGCTGAGAGTTTACCGTATGATGCTTCTTGGAGCGTTCGCGAATCGTGCCTAGTGCCTAGTGCCTAGTATTAGTCTGAGAGAAATCTTATCTGAGCTATCCGGACCCTTTTCTGCCAAGCAATGCTTGGCAGCGTTATGTTGTTCCACACCATCTCAAAACATTCCACGCAATGCATAGTACAGTGGGCAGGGGGCATTGGCATGGTACACAACAAACAACAAATAAAACAATATCAATAATAACACTAACTAACAATCAATAGAATAGAATTCGATTTATAATTTCTATCAAAACTCAAGCTTTGTATCCAGGATTGAAGGTGTGAGCAGTGAGAAGTGAGCAATCAGTTCATCTCACCGAATGTATCCAACTCTTTGGTGTTACGGTTTTACTTATACAACTTTATAAGTCTAGAGCCACACCCCTGTCCGAAGTGGATGATGGTGTCTTTCCTGCGACACTGGTGACAAAAACACCAGAAGCAGAAACACACAATTTCAAAGACCACCTGCTGCAAGGCAGGAACCAAGCAGTCGAGAGAGAGCTAAAAAGATACAGCTTGGCATCGCCATCGCGGCCAATTTTGTTCTGTCTTTAACCAAATGTGACGGTGTTCAATCATTTTGTGATGCCCAATCCAATCCGCCCAATCCAATCCCAACTTCTTTGAAGCAATACCTTTTAGATATTACAGGGAGTCCTCAAAGTTAAAATGCAATATGGAAGTCTTATTTTGGACAAAAGCATACAATTATGAAATTTGGCAGGGATAAACAACGCGAACACACCAAGAGGACAAAAGAAGGACAAGCGTTTTAGTTGCACGTGCGCGCACGCACGCTGCCACCAGCTGTCAACTGCAGGACAAGAAGAGGACAAGGACTGAGTAAGGAAACGACAAAAAGAACACACCAAAAGGACAAGGGCTCGAGACGGGCCAACAGCCGTGCCAAGTTGGAAGAAGGACAAGAAGAGCGCAACAAGAAAACGACAACTAGAAAACAAAAAGAGGACAACACGAGGACGGTCTGGGGGCTGGCTGGGAGGCACGGCCAAGCTGGCGTTAACAAGACGACAACAGGAGGACAGTGGAGGACAAGAAGAAGTCAAGAGGAAGACAAGAGAAGGACAAGAAGAGGACAAGAGGAGGACAACGGGCAACAAGAAAGAGACAAGAAGAGAAAAGGATTAGAAAAAGAGGACAACAGAAGGACAAGGTCTGGCGGCCGGACTGGCAGCCGCGGCCGAAGGACAAGGCGACGACAACAGCCGGACAAGAAGAGGACAACGACCAGACCTAAGGCGAAACCCCAACAGTGAACTGTTTGAAGAAGAACCCGCCCGCGCCGAAGGTGCTGAGGCGGATGCGTTAGATTGTAGGTTTAATCAACTTCACGCTGCGTTCATCTCTAAGTTTTGCACCGATCACGCACATTGAACAGTTTACCAGGTATACTCACTATGTTTTTCGATCCCCTTGAAATGTACATCTCTAAGTCTTGGCTTGATCACGCGCATTGTAAATTCTATTGTGCGCAATCACTCTATTTTTCGACCCCCGACCCCCTTGTAAATGTATAATTTCAAGGGGATAACAAAATGGATCCAACAATGCTTGCAAAATGCGCGTACAAAAACTAAACAATGTATCAAATGGTTCAAATATAGAGCGATTGTAGATCCTTCTTTTTACCCGTCCGGTCTCTGAGAGCCACTGGCGCGGGCAGTTGTCGTCACGAAGCGACCTGAATCATCGCAGCAGTGTGGGCTCTTTCGTTGCCGGCATCACGCTTGCAGCGTCAAACCCGTTTGCTCTCAATGTCTCTGAAACAGGCGGTTGCACTGGCGCCCAGGTTGCGAAGAGGAGGACACACCTGGAGCACCAATAAATTGACTAAACATGGTAGCAATCTTTTTGCAATCACACCGTCACAGTTCAAAAAGTCTCAATGTCGGGTCGAACCCATGAGCACCTAAACTAAATCATGAATGGTTGTCATTCTCGAGGAAAGCAAAGCTCAAGGGACAAGAAGAGTCTCTTCGCAGGTAAGATCTCTGACTGCCTGGGCCTTGCGCCCATCCAAGTAAGAAGAAACAAGTACCGAAAAGAGGCAAAAGGCGGTGCACAGCTGGCAATGCATACGCAGTATGACAAGCGTCAATGAAGACCCAGTTTGAATCTACATATTATGCATACAAAAAAAAAAGGCGCAAGGCTGAAGTGGAACAAAAAATAAATTCCGACAGCGTAAGTTTGAAACCCAAAACATTTGCAGACCTGCCGCTCAATAGTGAAGATCTGCAACAGCAGAGAACCACTGCGGGCGAAGACAGTGTGAACCAGACCCTTTTCCCTCATGCTTTGCCATTCCGCTCACCATACCGGGTACGCTGCGCCATATTGACGGGGCACATTTGGTCTCTCTACCAACATCGAAGAGAATTAAAAACAATCCACTGGTGGCTCTGGCCACGTGCGCTGGGCGCGACCAACACCACGAACAATGGGCTGGTACACAAAACACACCAGATATTGTCAGCTGCGAACTTCAGTAAGAGCCCAAGTCGCCCGGATCTGTGACGTTCAGTATTACGTTAAAGCAATCCTGTTTTGCTACCAACTGCTGCGAGTTCCACTACCTGACCTAGCCTAACTACGTCACGTTTCGTTTGGTGGCAAACAAAGCTGCAAGCTCAACTATTT